TTTTATAATTGTTACATGGATTTGTCAACAGTCAATAATTTCATATTCATATCAGTTGTATCTATGAATAGTGTGTTTAATTAAACCATGGTTTATTACTTTAATTTGTATATAATAGTATCAAAAATACTGATATTATAAGTTGTATTATATTTATGGTACCTATTTTATTTACAAAAAATAAAATTACTTTTCATAGTGTTACATACTTAACAATCTCATTTCTTATATTTTTTTTAAGTAAATAATATTATTTTATTAGATAGGTACTTAATTAAAATTCTATGTTATTTTGCTCCAATTTTAAATTGTAATTTGTGTTATAAAGATCAATATTCAATATTAATATATAATTTATATTCAATTTCAATACTTTATTATTTGGAATATATTTTGTTTTGCGTTGGTTGATTTGTAAGAGCTGTTGAGTAAAATACAAAGGGTGATACAAAATTATAGACAATTAGTGGTGAAAACAACACTCTGTTTGATATTTTCAAACATGCTTCTTTTAATTCGTTTCAGTATTTGTTCAACATTAAATTTGACAATATCTTAAAGGTGTAAATATTTGTCTATATTATCTTTTTTGTGTCAATATTATTTAAATTCGCTGTATTTTTAACAAACTGAGCATAGAAAAACGTCTATGAAAATATGTTTATAATACGTTAAAGTTGACCTTTTCATTTTAGAAGTTTGTCAAATGATAGTAATAAAAGTTTATTTTATGTGCTTATGTAAGTTTATCATTGAAAAATTATGCTAAAAACGTATAAATACTAATAAAATAAATTAAAAGAAAATTATACTTCTTCGGTATTGTTAGCCGTTTCCATAGTGATCATGGCATTTGTATATTACCATAATTATACTATGGATTTGTTTTTTATTGACCTATTGTACATTTGATATATTGTATTTTTTTTGGGATATTTTTGCATATAGGACCTTTTCGCATAGATTAGGTAGTGAGTGATATTAAATAGACTAAATAAGCATTTTTGCATATCGGATATTTGGTGTATGTGGAGATTTTAAATAGTATATTATAGATATCTATGGGAAACATTACCCATATACTGGTATTCATTGTCTTTGAATGATAATTTTAACGTGAACTGCAGTATTTATAACTGTATTTCACTCATAGGTATATTTTATGATGCGATTTAAATCAAGTTGGTACAGTATAATTGAATACATAAAATTATATTATTTATTTATTTAAATCCTCATTTTAATAAATAAATAAATAAATAAATGGATAAATATCATTATTTTTCTATAAATAGATACAGTCGTTACGATATATTACAGAGCCGGCCTTAGGATGGAACGAGACCTAGGGCAATATTTTTAGCCGAGGCCACTGAATTAAATTTTTTGTTTATAATAAATTTTATAATTATAAATGTTAACCAAAGGATACTATTATTAAGACTTATTTTATTTTTATTTAAAAATGAGCATTACATTAATAAAAATTAACCATATCATAATAATTAATAATTAACAGTTTACAAGACATTATTGTTTATTTATAATTGATCGTTTGCCTAAATATCATAAATTAAATTATATATTTTACAGATTAGAGAAAATTGACTTTTCTTGCTTTATACTTAGCAAATTAATTAATTACTTCGTCGAAAGTCTAAGTTTGAAGCTATATCTTTTTCAATAGATAATATTGCAAGTGAAGAGAGTCTTTCTTGCGTCATTGATGTTCTTAAATATGATTTTATCAGTTTTAATCTAGAAAAAGATCTTTCTGCCCTGGTCACAGTTATTGGAAAAGTTAGTAATATTCTATAAGATATATTAGCATTAGGAAATGGATTTTGTAGATCTTTTATAAATTGTAATACTTCGATGGACGTATTTATTTCTACTGGTATGATTTGTCTGATAATTTTTAACTCAGATAAAAGTTCTGCGCCATTGATGTCGTGTTTTTCACCATCTCTCAGAGAAATGTCTAAATCAAAACAGCATTTCATCAAATCATTCTCACTTAAATTACGCAATTTTTCAGGAGAATATAAAAACCCAAACATATTAGAATACTCTTCAAATTGTAGAAAACGTAATTCCATGATTGTATAGCAGTATTTATAGTATAATTTGATAAAAATATTCAATTTTAAATTTTTCTTCTGGTGATTTCTGAGAATTAATTGGTTCTTCGTCTTGCTCATAAGAAAAAAATCGTTTTCTTTTTCGAATCCTTGTCTCTTTAAACACAGGGTTAATATTTAAAATAGTTGATATCTCTTTAGCATCAGCTATTGCAGAATTAAATCCGATATCTCTATAATTTTTTAAAAACTGTAGTAAACCTTTTAAACCGTTGATTGCGACATCCAAATTCATATCTCTTAACTGTAATATTTTGCTAACGCTATTGACCAATAGGAGAAGATCATACCATATTACTACGCTCATAATAAATTCAAAATTTTCCAATTCATTTATCGCAAGTGATTCAGCTTCACTTTTTATAGTAGGTTCAGTTGTACTTTCAGCTACTTCTATAAGAGCATCTCTAATTAAGGCAGCATGATATCTTATAGGTTTTACGCTATCAACTCTACTTTCCCATCTAGTTTCCGATAGTCGTTTCACTGAGCAATTAGGCACATATTTTTTTAAAATAGACAATCTTATTGGAGAAGCTGCAAATAACAAATATATTTTATTTATTATACCAAAAAATGTCATTGCTTTCGAATTACAATTGGCCATATCTCCTAATAGCAGATTTAGATTATGACATGCACATGGAGTGAAAAATGCTTTTGGATTTTTTTAAAGAATTTTAGCTTGTACTCCGTTATACTTACCCTTCATGTTAGCGCCGTTGTCGTAACCTTGCCCTCTACAATCTTCTATATTTATGCCATTTTTATCTAACTCCGAAAGAATAGTCGAACTAATATTTTCTCCAGTTGATGAATGTATTTCTACAAATTTAATAAAATGTTCTTCAATTCTAATTTTTTCAGAATGCATATCAACACAACGCAATATAATCGATAACTGTTCTCTATGACTTAAATCTGGTGTATAATCTAGTATAATTGAATAATATTTTTCTGAATTTATTTTTTTACAAATTGATTTTGATACAGAGGATGCCAATATATTAATGAATTCATTTTGTATAGTTTTTCCTAAATAATGGTCATGTATTTCTTTTGATTGAATTCTTCGAATATGTTCTGAAATTATGGGATCAAATTTGCCTAACATTTCTATAAGCCCTAGAAAATTACCATTATTTGAATTAAACAATATGTCACTTTCACCTCGAAAAGCGAGATTTCGTTCTGATAAATAATGTACAACATGAAGAATACGAATTAAAACTGCCCGCCAATGTTCTGTTTCCTTTCTGATTAATGTTAAATTTTGTTTATCAATTGTTATATTTTTTTTCATTCTTATTTCACAACTAATCCATTTTTCAATGTTGAGTAAATGATTTTGAGAACACTCATGACTTTTTATTCTCTCTGCAATATGTTTCCAATCATTAAGTCCATCATCCGCCAAGCCACTATTACATGCATTTCCAAAAAGTTTACAGCAAAAACAATAAACCACATCTTTTTTCTTCGAATAAACTAACCATCTACGTCTAACTTTTTCACCATTAGATAAAGTTCTATAAAAATAATCAACTGAGAATTTTCTCTTTCTCTCACTGTCACTAATTTTTATTGGAAAATCGTAATTAAAAATTTCATTTGGACCTTTTTCGATAATTGTATCTCTCTCTCTAATACTTAAAGTATAAAGCCATTTACCAGGATCTTCAAAATTTTGAAAAACTGTATCATTTTGATCATAAGTCATTTCATTTAAATTTGAATTAATACTTTCTACTTCATTCATATTTAAATTAATATTATTAGAAATTTCTTGTTCGTAATTAAGACACAAAACGGGATCGGTCAAAATTACATTTTTGGGCGATTCATTCAAAGAGGAAGTACTATTAGCAATGGGGCTTCATTTTTATTCTGCGATTCTATTTGATTTGTATTATTTTCTTGTGGAAGTTTTAAAAACTTTTGAAAGGCACCAGTTTGACTCTTTAAGAATTTTTCTTTTAATGTTTTCTTTTTTAATTTTTCACTGCCCGATTCAAATTTTCTAAATTTATCTCGATCACGGCCCACTGTAAAGATAAAAAACTGTTGAAACAAGAAATAGTGAAATATTATTTTAAATATTTCCAATAACAAATAAAACCACAATCATTTGTCATTTAAAAGAAACCTTTTAATACTTTTTGTTTGGGAGGGGGGGGGGCGAAATTTGTGTTGTTTGTAAGAAAATAACATAATTTAAATTTTTAAATTTTAAGATCCTTCACTTCACTCAGAATCTAAAAATTGTTTTTACATAAAAGAGCATAATTAGTTATTATAAGAAAAAATATTTGTATAAATTATTTTATATTATACTATATAATATTGCATGAATTCTATCCATTTTAAAAGAATATAAATCTACGCTTTAGTTATGAATAGAGTACGGATTTATCGATAAGATATGAAAAATAAAACATGGAAAAACACGAATTGAGTACTATTAAATTACTATTCATAGCAATTTGAAACTTCATGCCCTCATATTTATTTAATATAATTTATAAAGTAATATAACTTTAAAATATTTTCACGCGAGGCCGAAAATGATTTATAAAAGCGCGAGGCCCGGGGCAGGGGCCCCGCTGGCCCCTCCCTAAGGCCGGCTCTGATATATTATGTGTGTGCGTGTGCGTCGTACACATGTGAAAGTTAAAATCTAGGAAATACAAGACTAAAATTATATGTATGACTATGTGTCAGTACATAATGTAGCAACTGTGTTGGATACAATTCACTAAAACTCATAGCTTCAAATTAAATGAGTAGACGAGATTTTGAGCAATTTTACTTGTACTAAAAATTAATTTTGTAAAATTATGTTGAAATATGTTTTTACAGAGTTATGGTTTACAAAAAAGATGGTCTTATCAAAGACCTGTGGCCAAATATTCGGTTAATACAGTTGTCGGGTCTATTCATAACCGAATATTATGACGATTATTCTGGATTTTCTGTGTTGCTCCGAAAGATTTATAGCTGGGTCACAACTGTAATAGTGTACTCGCAATTCATATTTATGGTGATGTTCATGGTTACCCAGTCTAATGATTCAGATCAGTTGGCTGCTGGAGTGGTGACTACGTTGTTTTTCACCCATTCGATGATCAAGTTTTTATACTTCAGTACGGGTACCAAATCTTTTTATAGGACTTTGAGTTGTTGGAACAATACCTCTCCACATCCACTATTTGCAGAATCTCATTCAAGGTATGTATATTGTTATAATAGTTATTTGATGGTTACAATTCTAATTATATTTAATAACGTATATGAACCCTGGAATTGATTTAATTAAAATCGTATTAGACATATTTGTTAAAATTTAAAATTTTTTATTATTGCAGTTAATATTAGCTGTGAGGTTATACCTATCGGATTAATTTCGATTCTTAATTTCTTTAATTCATAATCAATATACATATATTGATACATTATGTTGATATCTATGTATATATATGTATATATTCAGTGTTGGGGAAGTTACTTATTTTGGGTAGTTAAATTACATTACTAATTACTTAGCAAAATTATAGCTAAATTATTTTAAGTTACTTTTTTTCATTTTGTCAAGTTACATTATTTATGAGTTTTAAAAGTAACTCAATTACAATGGAAGATACTTTTTTTTTTAAAATATCACTGAAGCTTAATATTTTTGTCTATTTTGTCTATATGACAATACACAAACTGAATAATGGCAATCAACAATATGAAATTATAAACAATTAATACTAATTTTGCTATACATTAAATATTAATCTTTATTTTTCTAATTTATTTAAACAACAATTCGTTTTCAAAATTATAGTCACTAATTTTAGATCGCTTTTTTGTGCATATATCTCTTGCTATGATAAACAAACGTTCAACAGAAGCACTTGAGGGTAAAGCAGTATTATACTTCAAAAAAATTAATCTCATTATTGGCATGTTTTTTAAAATATTTAAATCATCATTAAAAGGAGTAAATAAAAAACGTTCAAGTTCAGCATTAAAATGTTCTTGTTTTATATCTTCATCAAAAATAATGTTATTATTGACTTCCTCAACTTGATTTTGCTCTAAAGTATTATCATTAACAGGTTTGAAATATTCTATTTCACTTTGAAGGATGTCAGTGGCTTCTTATTTTTCCATTACTAACATACCTTTAAACTTTTATTGTTTTTAACATATATTAAACGAAAAAAAGTAAAGAGTAATTTAGTAATAATTACTACAAAAAAGTAACTTAAATTACATTTGAATTACTTACAATAAAATATAATTAACCATAAAATTACTTAAAAAATAATTTCGTTACAGTAACTTGTAACTTAAGTTAAATTACTCTCCAACACTGTATATATCATAGTATATTATATATTTTATTATATTTTATACATTAATTATAATATAATATTTATATAATATGTTACATTTTAGGTTTCATGCAAAATCATTATCTCGAATGCGTCAATTGTTAATTATTGTGTCGGTAGTTACGATTTTCACAACAATTAGTTGGACAACGATTACTTTCTTTGGCGAAAGCACGTGGAAGGTTCCAAATCCTGAAACATTTAATGAAACAATGTCGGTTCCAATTCCTCGTTTAATGTTGCATTCTTGGTACCCATGGGATGCGAGTCATGGATTAGGTTATATAATTGCTTTTATCTTACAGGTATGTATTAAATATCATAAGGATATCAATAGGATGTTTTATAATTTATGCAAAGGAAAACTATTAGTTTAAATATTTAATTTTTTTTAAGGTTATATTAGATATAATGAAATATTAGAATTATTAGTTTTTTCATATTATATCTAAGGTGATATTGAATTATATTCAATAAGAACTCATAGTAATTAAAAAAAAAAACATTAAACCTCATACCTCTGTTTAATTAAATATTTTTAATTATCTATGTGAAATTATTAGTTGATGTTTTTAGATTTCTATATTTACTAAAAAGCTTTTAATTATAGATTTCATTTGACATTGTCATTCTTAAGTTAATTTATTTAATTAAACGTGTTTAATTTTTATTTAGTTTTATTGGATATTCATAACCCTTACTCACTCGAACTTAATGGAAGTTTTGTTCTCGTCGTTTTTGGTGCATGCGTGTGAACAACTTCAACATTTAAAGGAGATATTGAACCCATTGATTGAGTTAAGTGCTACCCTCGACTCAGTAATTCATAATCCAACCGAAATATTTCGTGCTACTTCAGCCAAGAATCAATCAGTTAATGGTATTAGTAATTGAAATTTAATATTATAAAACATCTATATATTAATAATGTGATATTTAATTTTAGAATTAACAATATTTTTTATGAATACCCTGTATAATATTATAATTGATTTAGGATAGCAGTATTTCCTAATTTATAAAAATATTGATTTTATCATAAAAAAAATTAAATAATCATAATTATTTTAACATAGGTACTTACCTTTATATATATATATACATATGTAACACTAGTAAAAATAAAATACCAAATTACTTATATTTATTATATGATAAAACATGCATTATGTAAAATATTTCTAGAACTCTAAACTATACAAAACTGTGGTTGTAAATATTACAACTTATAACTTCGTAAAAAGCTAAATAATTCAAGGCTCTAATAAAACTGCAGAAAAAATTACACATGAGAATATCTATATAACATGAAATTAAAAATATCATAAAAACAGTAGACAGGCACAGTTATCTTAAACCTTGAAGAATATGGGATGGGAAAGTAAAATGCAGTAGGTACTATACGGTGTTGTATATGGAGTTAAAAAAAACAATAATTTTCTACACTAGATGTTAATTCTGGTTCAGTTAACATTAATAACAAATCATTGGGTAGATCTTTATGCATGGTACTCTTCAATTTAATTTCACTATTGTTAATTTTGAAAATTCTCATTCAAAGTAAAATTTTGTAACTGATATGATAGTATATAGTTTTAGTACAGTGTAAAATTCATTAAATTATTTTGTGTAATTGTTTGCTTTCATCTAATCAAGCCAAAAATGGATGGATTCATTATTAGTATTATTAGTATTCTTTGACTTACCACTGTGTAATTGGTACATATTTTAATAGTTTTTTTGATACATCAATATGGTGTAGGAACATTAGCAAATGTTGATAAGATTAAAATAATTTTAGGTGTATAGTTTAAACTAGGGATGGATCGAATATTCGGTAGTTATAAATTTGACGTGTCCTCAATGAACTTGATTAAGCAATATGTTATTCAGTGATGGTAAATTTTATGGAAAGAATAATCGCCTGTAGTGCTAGTAGAAAGGGCCAAATTCCCGATATCATTTTTCACTGTTAAACCTTAACTTTTCCTGAAGAGAATGATATATTTGTTATGTTTTTTTAAAAACAATAAATTTAATTTATAGCAGATTTAAATCCTGCGATCTTCTTGAGACACCCTATATTTAGACAATTTAATATATAATAATATGAAAATCTTATTATTATTTTTTAATTATTAAGTATATTTTAATATTTTTTATCTTGTATCGCTATACATATTGTTTTTAACAATCTACTCATGATATATATTTTCATGATCTTTGGTATCAATATTTTGTTAAATATTCAACACCAAATATCACCTAATTATTCTGCACTGAATATTCAGCTCCGGATCCCGAATAATATTAATATATAAAACATTCGGTATTTTTCGGTGTTGAAAACAAAATATTCGTTATTCGTTTTCTCCAATTTAAGAAATTCAGCATATCACTAGTTAGTATTGTATTAGTATTATTAATTTCTTATTATTTAAAAAATAAAATTTTCAATTAAAATTATTAAATTCTGCATTTATTAATTTGTAGTACAAAAAACATTTTGTGAAATCTCCTGAAAAAACGTTAAAAAACATTTTTTTTTTTTTATAAGATTGTCAATTTTTAAAATTTCTTGATTACAGCTATTTTACTTTTCTTAATGATACGATTCATAATTTTTCTTTATTCTAAACGTTTTTTCTCTTTTATACTAATTTTTTTCTAGGCGATTCTTATAAAGTACACCGTCAATTGAATTCAAAGGAATAAAACTATTTAATGTTTTTACACTGTTTAAGTGATATTTAGATGTTTTTAAACAAATCTATGGTTCGACATTTTAAAACCATAGTTAACTAACCAAATATATACGTTATCACTACATTCGTTATTTATTATATTACTTTAAAATCAATGGCATGGGGAAACAAAATTATGTGTTAAAAGCTTCCCTGTATTTCAACAAATCATCAAACATATCAAAACAGTTCTGAATTTAAATTTTCTTAGAGCTTCGAACTGACTGTGGATACAGATCTAATATAGAATAGCATCGTCTTCATAAAATGCAATCAAAAAGCGATCTTTTGAAAGTGGTGAATTAGGGTTATATAAATTGATCATACTACTATGATCAATTTGTAGCTATACAAAAAAAAAAAATATATATATATTATATATATATTAATTATAAGTACTCGTATATAATACAATAATTAGTTACTAAAAATATATTGTTGTTACAATAAAAGTACCTATATACTATCATCATTATGTAATTTCTTATTTTCCTTTTTTTTAAATGGTCAGAAATATAATCTATTATAGTTGCTGAACTAGAAAAAATATCTGTATACTTAGATAAAAACTTAAATTGTACTATGTTCCCTGGAAAATATCCTGTTGAACCAAGGCTCGTACCATAAGCATGTTTATACCTTAAAAGATTAATCTAGTATTATATATATAGGGGAAGGTGGGGAAGAACCATACTTGTAACTTTTATGTACTGTAGAACTTACAAAATTTTAAGGATTTGTCATTTATATATAATAAATTGACATTGACGTACTGAGTACACTCGTGAGAATTATACTATGTGACTAGTGAATGTTTTCGTTGTTTGAAAAACGCTAACATAGGTACCTACCAAAAGAAAATTTAAAAAAATTATTATTTCAGACCGCGAATATAATGGGTCTTACGTGAACGAAATAACTGAATATGGTACAAAAGAAGAAACCGAACTAAACGGAAAAGGACCAAATAACTTATCTACCAATCAAGAAGTACTTGTTAGATCAGCAATTAAATACTGGGTTGAACGACATAAACATGTAGTCAAGTATGAAATCGAATTAGGGACGTATGTTGAAGGTATTAAAATATTAATAAAAATCAATTTTTTTGTATACAGATATGTGAGTTTAATTACCGATTGCTATGGTGTAGCACTTTTGTTTCACATGTTAGTCAGCACGGTCATTTTAACCATTCTCGCATACCAAGCAACCAAGGTTCGTCGGCATTTTGTATAAAATTATTTTGACAGTTATTCAAAACGTAGTTTGAGTCAAATGATCAAATGTCCTATTCATTTTAATATCTGATTAATTAAGTATTCTTGCAATATTTATAACCATTGAAAGATATTATACTAAAATACTATTGAAAAAATTATCATTATCTTTGTATTTAATAGTTAAAACGACTTTACAATTAAAATTAAATTAAAATCTCTTCGTATTAATAGTAAAAATGTGCTATATATATACATTAATAATAGATCATATTTAATATATTCTGAATTTTTAGACGTTTATATTACTAAAATAGTATATCACATCTTATATTTTTTTCTTTTTATTATTTTCAACAGATCAATGGAGTTAACGTATTTGCGTTTTCGACCATTGGATATTTATTGTATTCGTTCGCTCAAATATTTATGTTTTGCATACACGGCAATGAACTTATTGAAGAAGTGAGTATACACTTACGAATTAACTCAATAATGTGTCTAATTGTTTACGTTAAAATAATAATATACGGAATGTACAATTACACAATATCCATAGTTTTATTAAGGTTCAATTATAAAATAAAGAGGTGATTTTAATTTGAGGAAAACCATATGTTTTATTATAAATATTAAAACTTAAAATGTTATCCTTTATCTGTAAATGAACTAGCTTTACATTTTGTCAATTATTTTCAGAGTTCATCTGTGATGGAAGCGGCTTACAGTTGTCACTGGTACGATGGGTCCGAAGAAGCTAAAACATTTGTTCAAATTGTTTGTCAACAATGTCAAAAGCCTTTAATTGTGTCTGGGGCGAAATTTTTCAATGTCTCATTAGATTTATTTGCCTCGGTAAGACCTATACATTGTTTGTTATTTATTAGTTATTATTCAATTATTTAAGTTATTCATTTAAACATTTTTCACCATATACCTAGTAAGTTCAGATTTATTCTATTTCATAAGTGCAAAATTGCATTCTTTTTCTTCTTCGATAGTTCGATTTCGAACGTCGTGACCATTTAGTTTATACAAGCGTATGGTTATTACTAATATTTCTCCAAACTTGCAAAATTGCATAAAATTTAATAAATATATAACAACTCTGTACAGAATAAAAAAGAAATAAAAATTATTACATTTTTTATTTTTTATTTTTTTATTTAACAATGAATTATACAACTATACAATTAAACACAACTAGTAATAATGAATAAGAGATGACTTTTTTTAAAACAATTATTAATATTAAATTATTATTAAAATATAAAATAATTAAATAATGAAATATAAAAAATAAAAAAAATGAATAAATTAAATAAATTAAAAAAAAAAAATAAAACGAAAAAAATTTTTTTTTTATAAAAAACTATAAATATAATATAATATACAGTTGATATAATATAAAATATATAAAAATTAAATAATTAAATATAAAATAATTATTAAAATTATTAAATTATTAAATTATTTTAATTTTGATTCTTTAGAGTTCATAATTTGTTTTAGGTAAATTTTATCATTAAATACACCTTCCAACTTAGTATATTTACTTATTTTTTAGTATAACCTAAGCGTCTATTTTATTTTAACTAATCACAACTACTATGTACATTAATTTTTTTTTTCTTATTTGAAAAAATAATATATTAAATATTTTTTAAATCGAAATTATTGATCTTGATTAAATTAGTTTTTTTTTTAAAAGTTTATCAAACTCAAGTAAAATTATCATGAAAGTAATTTTCATTGAATAAATATTTTTATTCTTCCTAATAACATTTAAAAATATAGAATGATATTGCATAAATTGTATGAAAATGGTTTCTTTTTTTAGGTTCTTGGTGCTGTAGTAACATACTTCATGGTGTTGGTGCAACTTAAATAAAACAGTTCAATGAAAAATACTATGATAATTTTAGTGAATTTCACTTGTACTTGTATTGTTTAAAATCTGGGCTTATTATGTTACCATAGATATTAATTTTATTTTATTAGTGTATTAGGAATTTTAAATAGAATATTTAAAATGTTCAATAAAAATAAATTATTAATGTCGAAATTCTTAAAATATTTAACTCAACAGCTCATAAAATATGGTTATATCATATATGTAATATAAGTAAGATATTTTTTATTCTTATTTTATATTTGCGTTACATTACTGTAAAATATTTTTAAATCAACAATATTCAATATATTTTTGATTTTATGATTTTGAATTTCCACAGGTGTAGTTTAATTATTTTATTAAACTAGATATACGAGTAAGTTGATATAAGTTCATTTATGGAAAATTTAAATAATAATTGAATACAAAATGTAATTATTGTTTATATGGAAACTAATAAAGGTTAGCGGATACAAAAATAATTTTATAATTAAAACGAGAATAAGGTAAAAGTATACAACAGTTGAATAAGTAAGTAAAGAAAAGTATTTAGGTATATTCTATATAATAATATAATAATTTGGGCAAAGTAAACATTTCTTTGGCAATTAATAAATAACATCATCATTTAAAATTTAACCCTACAATTTTTTTCTATTTAAAATTTAAAAATTGAATTTCATAATTTAATTATTTAATTTTTTCCAGGTTTTGATATATATACAATTAAATACTATATCAAATATGATATAAGAATAAAGATTATCATTTAATAATCTTGTAGCTATATTTTTTATGATAAAATATTGTATCATATCGTAGATAACTATATGATAATTTTATTAATTTAATTACTTGTAATTTAGTTGTTCCATCAAAAAAGTCTGGTTCATCTGGATAAAAGTACATAGTTGCAATTTTTAGATAATAGTTCAATAATATTGTTTTGTTTTTGATGCTGCGAATGAGTTAAGTAGAATATTGTATCAACGAAAGCATACTCATTGAAATTAGAACTATAATAAAATTGTATCGCATTGCATCATTTTAGGTTGAATAAGTAAGTATATCGTTATACCATAACAATCAACTGCTTCCTAAAAGAACGTCTACATTTTCATTCATTAGATTTCTCATTCATTAACTGCACAACTTAACCTTGTTACAATTTTCATAAGGTTAGTAAATTATGTATAAGTCATTTTCATAAATTGTTGAGGAAGGTTTAATAATAATATTTTTAATGGTTCTCAATTTTCAAATTTAATAACAAAAAGTAATAAATTGCACATGAAAAATATTATTTATATATATAAAATGTATACATTCTATTCATCGTCTTAAAATTAAACTTTATTAATTAGTAAATGCTAATTATAATTATTAACAGTTTTATTATGCATTACTGAATAAATTGATTAAATTCTGTTATATGCATGTAAACGTGGTCTCTATATCATCTTTACCATATTTTTACCAATCTAACTATGCAAAATTTGAATACACATGGACTTTCAATAAATTATTCACATTAAAGCGAATGAATCTGGATCAATAGTAATGAAAAATAATAATAGTGGGATAACTTCTTAGTTAAAAATTTTCTTTTTCATAAAAACTATTGTAATAAACTATTGCAGTAGGTTGATAAAATATCACATTTTCATTACATTTGAGTACTAAATGTAAACATGATAGTAATGTAGCCGTATAGTTAATTAAATTATTAAAATGTGTTTTGGAGAAATTTTTTTTTTTTTTAAGCTGAAAATTTAGTACATTTTTAAGAAAAACTAACGTTTAAAGTATTTAGTACATTTAGGCGGATGTTTGTATAATACATTAAAATTTAAAATTAAAAATATAATTAATTTAGATAGCAATATTTTAATGATATTGAAAATTATAATATGACTATTGTATATAAATAAGATGTAAAGTATGTAGAATAAACAGAATAATAACAACCGATGTAATAATAATAATTATTATAGTTAATTATCAGTTATATCAGTTTATTAATATTTTGAATAAATTATGCTTATAATTTCGTAGACTGAATAGATTACTTATATAATACTATATTGTATATTTTATTAAAAATTACGAACAAATTAATACTAGTATAATCATAATAATATAATAAATATTGCATAAAAATTGATGTCTTTAAAAAAAAAAAAAAACACTGGTAATTTATTTATTTTGAAAGTTATTTTTACTATAATTTAAAATAGTTACTTATGATTTTAGAGTTTTATGTTGATCACATAAGTTTGATTTATAAATTTCAAATTTATAATCAATCAAGTTTTCTTAAGGTTAAATTTACTTAAACAATCATTTTGATCTTCTGCTGAATGGTAAAAATGATGTTTAATTCGAACATGGTCGATATTCATTGGACATAATGGTGGATTTCTGGTTCGGGGTAATGAATTACAAAATATTGCAATATTGGCTTAGGGTAAATTGGTCAATGTCGAGAGGCTAACTCTAAATACCTTGTATCTTGGAATGTACGTTAGTAATAACGGAAAACACTCATCAATCAACTTGATTAAGTTTCAATTTTATTTTACATTAAGAATTTATTATATGTTGATAGTTTCAATTGTATATCAGAAGAACTAAAGAATTTAATTTTACTAATAATAATATTAATAAATATGGTGATGATTGAATCAGATTCTGTACATAATGAAACGTTACTACTGTCTAGAATTTGTAAAAATATCTGGTTCTATCATTATCCATAGAAAATTTTTTAACTTTATTATCTAAATATATTTAAAATTAAAAACTAGTTATTACATGTGATTTAAATAAAACTAAATAAATGTACCTAATTTACAAAACCTTTAGATAGAGATAATTAAAATATAATAGCCTAAATAAATACAGAATGAAAATTACAAGCCATATTGCTTTAAATTTAACAATTTATATTGTTACACATCATTCATTAATATAACACTAACCATACAATGCTATCTAATTAGAATTTTTTACATAATTAATTTTAAAATGCAAATTTATACTTAAAAGGTAATGGTGTAAAGACCATTTAATCCTACGAAAATTTAAAAAAGTTACGTGCCACTAATAGATGGCTCCTTACTTATGTAAGGGCATATATTTTTGTATCTAATATCATCAGTGATGGATTAAATATTTGTGGGCCCCTAGGCAATTAAAATGTTGGGCCCTACAAAATCATTTTCTACATACATCTTTAACATTACTATCAAATAATTAAAATAAACAGCTTTAATAATAACCAACTATTATTAATAAATAAAATCATGTTTATTAAATTTTTTTTATTTGCAAGAAAAATTAACTAATTATTATATTATTTATATTCTTTTCAAAACAATTACATTATTAATACTGCATATAACACCTACAAATTGATATATAATATATTTCATAATGACTTTTGTCCCGTATATTCGTAAAAAACAGGTATTATTACATAAAAAAAAAATATAGTTTTCCGTTTTCACAGGGACCCTTAAATGAGTGAGGCCCTAAAGCGGACGCCTGCACTAATGGGTAATCCGGCACTGAATATCACATATAATTATTATGCTAATTGTATGTATAGAGTTTATATTTCTTGTAAAAATAAAAAAAATAAAAAAATGCAAATTTAGTCATTTTGTTGAAGACATAATGAAAGGTATAATTACGCTTCTGATTAATTTGTAATCTCCATCTATCAAATGTCAAACGCATAGTTATTTTTTTGTGGAATCTATATACAGTGGGTTTATCTATTATAACAGAATTAATGGACAACTACATCAAACTGGTACTATACTAACTATACTAACTTATACTATTTAAATTGAAATTTTATTCATATCCTATAATTTTAAAGTGAAGTATATAATTTTATACTACAGTTTATAATAAACAGATACAAGTTATGAACAGGTACTAGGAATTCAAATATAGATAAAATTAGAGAAGAAATTCGCCGCTACATCTCAGATAATTTTAAATTTTATAAAATGTCAATAAATTATTATATGGAGTATTGACCTAAATTTTACTGCTCATTGTATTAATTCGCCGAAAGTGAATTGTCCATATTTTTTTAGTGCATATACCAAAAATATATTTACCAATACACCACTGGTTAAAGGTAATATATATATATATATATATAATATAATATTTAAAATATGAAATGTTATTTTACATTATTGATTACTAAATACTAAATTTGAAAACGTTTTAAATTTTAAACTAATTTAAATAATACAAAATGCTAAATTGTTCATTATGTTTTAATTGTCAATAACGGTAAACGAAAATTTTTTTAGACGTTTCAATTTCTATAACGTTTAAAGGCTTAAATTGAATAACGTTTAAATTATTTGTAGCGTTAAACGCTCAATTGCTTATAACGTTTAAATGTCCCATTACGGTAAACAATATATATTATTTTTATTTAAACCCTGGTCCATACTTAGGGAAAAATAAAATAAAACACAATCGAAACTTTCAAAATACAGATATATGATAAAAAAGAATTACAAACAATTCCATTCCAAGTGGATCCGGCATTAGAGGAAAAAAAAAAAACCACAAATATTAAGGATTCACCTGATTTAAATATTATCAAAAATTTTACTTGTAAATTTTGAGCCTGAATTAATGAAAAAATTTGAGTCGGGGGATTCAAATTCCTCGTCCCTAAAAGTAAGTCTAAATACGTCCCTGGCTATACGTGAATCTCTTAAAATCATTTTTAATAATAATAATTTTAAAAATTGGTTTTTATTTATTTTTATGCTTAATACTTTAAGAGTCTAGACTAATAGCTCTTATAATACAAATTATTCCTAATTAAACGATAAACGTGTGTATAGGTTATCATAACGATATGTATATATATAGTATATATAGATGGTATATATAATAAATTGCTGCAGTTTGTATAATGTATCTTATCGGTTTTGTCGCAGATTGTATGATCTTAATTTTATTTTTGCCGCAGTTTACATATCGACTTTTAGAAAAAGGTTAATTTTGCCGCAGTTTACCATCTTCCTATTGTGCTATGATAGAAAGAGATAACAAATTTATG